CTGGTCTCCTCCCTCTACCTGCCCACTGCCTTCCTCCTGCTGAGCCAGCGGTTCTGCCGCCGTTGGGCCGAAGAGCTGCTTCTCCTGCTGCAACCCCTTTCCGTCCTCACCTTCCAACTGGACCTGCTCTTCGAACACCGCCACATGCCCGTCCGGCCAATGATCCCGCGAAGCACCCCGTCTCCCGAACCGGAGTCCGGTCGTTGGGAGAGGCCCTGTTTGAGCGCGCCGGAATTATCCGGACCTCCGGTTCCTTTGGATGGTTTGGAAGATGGCTTCATGGCTCCAGCCAGCCCCTTTCAGGAATGGCTTCTGCCCCAGAGATTCCTGGGCTGGAAAGAACGGCTGGCCAGCACCCTCCGTGGGAATGGGAGAACAGCTTGGGCCCAACCGGGGCAAGAGGAGAGCCCAGCCCAGCCGACGGGCGGGTGGAAGCCCCAGTGGACCAAGCTATGGGTCGCCATGAAGGAGAACTCCTCCGCTGCAGGGAGCCTTCCCAAGCCAGCCATGGGTACCCCTGAGGCAGGAGAAGTCTACCTGGAAGGAAGCCCAGCGGGCGAGGAGAAATCGGAGGCTGGAAACGGGAACGAAAGGTGGCTGGGCTGGCTGTTTGGAGCCAATTCTTCTGGGACGCTGAGCGAGATGGATTTGGATCTAGCCCGGTCCAGGTAGGCGGCGGGGAGGGCGCGGACGTTTGCACCCAGAGGTGGGATTCAGCCGGTTCTGGAGAACCGGTAGCGGGAATGTTGAGTCGTTTTGGAGAACTGGCCCATACCGCCTCTGACTGGCCCCGCCCACGTCGATTCTCCGCCTCCTGAGTCCCAGCTGATTGGCTGGGTCTCCTTTGGTTGCCCTGCCTGGGAGAATGGAGCTGGAAAGCAGGTTAGTGGGGTGGGGAGGGAAGGGGGATTTTATAGTATCCTTCCCCTGCCACGCCCACCAAGCCACGCCCATAGAACACCACTCCCACCAAGCCACGCCCACTGGGTCTGATCGGCTGGTGGGGGGGGGTTAGCTTTGAAAAAAAATGAAACGAGAAAAAGGTTGGCTGCCCGTCTGGAGGTGGCCTTGCTAAGGACTAGCAGCTTGGGCAATCCAAATG